CGGGGCAGAGCTGCAGGTACCGCTTCACCGAGGAGGAGCTCAACGCGGTGCTCTACGGGGCACTCCGGAGCAGCCAGCCCACCGGGAATCTCCACGCTATCTCGGGGCTCCGGGTGTCCCCCGCCGGCTCGGGTAAGGGGGTCTTTGACCAGGCACAGGGTGACCCTGGGCGGCAGGTCGCTCCTTGCAGCCAGGTGTGCGGGAGGGTTCGGGAACAGTCCCAAATGGGTTGCAGGCAGCCAGGCTCAAGGGGCATCGCCGGGGGCCCGTCGGACTTATTTTCCCTGTGGTTTCCTTGCGTTACGAGCCCACACCTGGAAAAAGCTGGGGGTGATTTGGACTGCGGCCTTTGTCGGGGCGGTAGGACCCGCTCCTGCGGGGCCGGTGCCGTGCTGAAGAAGGGGTTCCGCTTTTGCAGGCGCTGCGGACTCGGCCGCCCCGCTGCTCGACCGGGACTCGCTGCAGCTGCCCGAAGGTAGGTAGGTGTCCCGGAGCGCCCGCGCCCGTCCGCCCGCCCGCCCGCGCTCAGCCCCCTGTCCCCCGCAGGGCTCTCGGTGCTGCGGGTGGCCTACGGGGATGTGTCTCAGCTCGGAGTCTTCTGTACGGACCCCATCCCGAAAGGAGTCCGCTTCGGCCCTTTCCAAGGCAAAGTGGTCAACACGAGCGAGATCAAGACTTACGACGACAACTCGCTGATGTGGGAGGTAGCGGAGGCACCGTCGGGCTCACCCCGCACCCCCAACGCGGGGCCAGGGCGAGGTTTTTGGCGTCCCTTCTACCGTAGCCTGCCTGAGGGGCTCGGCCCAGTGAGGGTGGTGGGACTGGTGGGAACGAGACGTGTATGGAACGTCAAACCTGATCCTTTTTTCTCTGCTCGCCAGATCTTTGAATACGGTGGCCTGAGCCACTTTATCGACGGGAAGGGCGCCGCTGGCAACTGGATGGCCCTGGTGAACTGCGCCAGGTTCCCCGAGGAGCAGAATTTGACGGCTATCCAGTGCCAGGGACAAATCTTCTACGAGACCTGCAAGGAAATCTTTCCGAACCAGGAGCTGCTGGTGTGGTACGGCGATTGCTACGTGCAATTCCTGGGCATCCCCATCAGCTTGAAGGGCATGGCGGAGGGGAAGAAACCCCCGCAGCACCCCGAAGGTGAGCCTGCCAGCAACCCCTTGAGCGACACTGCCCCTTATTCCCACGGACGTGTGCCTGGCCTGGATTAGATTCACACGAAGGGAGCTAAAGAAACACAAGCACCACCTTTGTCCAGCCGTTTTACTTTAAAGGCTTCCCAGACCCCGCGATGAGGCGGTGCTGGGTGACCGGTCCTGCCGCGGAGGCGGTGGCAGTCTGTCCCTCGGGTCTGTCCCTCCGCCTTCCAGGGAGCCGATCCCCGCCGCCCCTTCCTGCGCCCGGAGGCAGCAGCTTCCCCTCGGCACCGAGAATCCGGGGCTTTGCATCGGGGGCTGCCGGCAGCGCGGAGCGAGAGGTTCCTCTCTCTTTCTGCCGTCAGCCCGCGCCCGGTCCGCGGTTCCTCGGGGCGTTTGAAGTGTTGTTTGGTCTGACGATTGTAAAACATCTGGTGGTCCTGGTTTGGGCTTGTCTCGGCCCCGCAGCGCCGTTGTTCAGGGTCCCGTTTTGGGAGGAGATTGGCTTTTCGGGGTTATTCCACTTTTGGTCCTATTTTCATCTCAGGATTGCACACCTGGCTTTCGTGTAATTACCGCTCTCGGTAAATGAGGCAGGCTGATGTCGTTCCGATCCCGTAATGCCAGTATTGCTTGCAAAAGAAATGTCAAATGCACTTTCTGCATTTGACAGTGAGGGGAGAGGGAGGATACTTCTACTTGTAATGTACAGAAAGTATGATCTTACAAGCAAAACTTATGTATAGAGAAACAGATTTGTGCCCGTGCGGGAAAAACTGGAGCAGGAAAGGGATGGGTCAGCCGGCTGCAGCAGAAAGAGAGAGAAGCAAATTTGCATGAAAATTTGGCATAGAAAATTTTGTACCTGTTGTCTTGAAGTGTCTAATTCAGACAGATGCTAAATTGTTCATTTCATTTTAAGGCTTAAGCTAAAGCTATTTTTACTAAAGACAGAAAAGAATGTATAAACGCCTGAAAATTTTCTGGTGTTTTTCCTAAATTCAGTGGTAAAAAATGAATTGAGTTTTTTTTAAAGTCAAATAAACATGTTATTTTGTTCAATAGTTATTTGAAAACGATAGAAAAGGTGTGCTTTTTTTTTTTTTTCCTTTTGGGATGGTGGTAAAATTTGCCGACAATTCTTGATAAGAAACATCTCACAATGGTTGCATACGGGGAGAAGTTTTTATGTGGGACTCTGACTTGCTTCGTCACCTTTTTCCTTGGTATTTATAGATATACAAGGATGAAATTCTGGTTTTGGTGAAGTTAGTAGCTAAACCGAATAATTTCAGCAGACTGTGGGCTCTCGTTTGTTCCCCTCCTTTTAAAAGGTAAGGGGAGCCCTGCGAACGCTCAGGAGACGCGGCATATATTTTGTTAATGATATTGCCAGTATCAATTTACAGTCGTTGGCCTGTCAGAGAGTTAAAATTCCCCGTAGGGGTCCCAGCTCTGACAAGGATGCAGATTTGACCTGAATCCCTTTTGCCGTGGTGTAACGGAGAGGTGGCACTTTCCCTTCTGCTGTACAGAAGCCGGGGAGAGCTTCAAGTGCGAGCGCTGCGGCAAAGTGTTTGCCTACAAGTACTACCGGGACAAACACCTCAAGTACACCCGCTGCGTGGACCAGGGGGACCGCAAATTTCCTTGTCACCTTTGTGACCGATCCTTTGAGAAAAGAGACAGGCTGAGGATCCATATTCTCCACGTTCACGAAAAGCACAGACCTCACAAGGTGAGCCTGCTCCCGGATCTCTCCGCAGTCACTGGCTCTTCTGAGGGTACTTATTATTAAGTTGGTTTTTTTTGGTCCAGATAAGATGCTGATAACGTTGTTCCTCCTCCAGTTTCCCTGGCAGTTTCCTGGTGGGACTGCTGAGGAAAAGCTTGTCATGTGCAGCAAAGCTTGGTTAAAGAAATTTAATTGGTTTAGGTTGGGAAAATAAACCCCATAGTCTCAGTTTAAAAAGAAACAAAATTTCCCCTTGGCTTTTTGGATGATTGCATTTGAGTAGTGTTCCTTTTCTTACACAGTGTGGGGTTAACTTGTGTTTAAAGGTGCTTGGCTTGTCCAGGATCAGGGGAGAGATGTCTCAAGTCTGTTTCCCACACCCAAGTCTATTTCCCACACCCCACCCTTCGGTCTGAGAACAGACCACAGCTTTATCTGTGTCTGTTGGACCAAACAGGGCTTAAAAGTTTTACGTTCAGCGTGAAGCAGATTTTCAATTGATAAAAGCAAAACTTTAAAATGCTTTACTCATCTTCACCAAACACCTTGCTTCTAGCACCAGTTTTCTCTAGCGGCACTGGGAATGGAAAATCTGACTTTTTCTAAAAGCTTGGGATGGACAAGTTAGAGTGCTTGAAATGGTACAGTTAAATCAGTCTCAAAATTCTCCAAATACCTATTTTATAGATCATCCTACAATGTCTACTTTTTCAGAAAAAATATTTTGTAACTAAAATGGCACTCTTACAATGTCAGAATATCTGCATGGAATTCGTAACAGATAAAAAATATTCCATAAATATGAGGTATTAAATACCATGTAATTCCTTTTCCTTTCCCTTGCCTCAGTAAATTTAGGATTATTTTATTCAATAGATGGTTTATCTTTTAGGGAAAAAATTAAAACTGGGGCTTGGTTGATATATATTTTAAGTGATTTTACAGAATTTTTCAGATTTTTTTTTACTGAAAGTCAATATTATCTGTTCTGTAAAATAACAAATTTTTATTGAAACAATTTTAACACAAATGATTTTGCATGGTTTTAATATATAATATATATATGTGCATATGCAGGTAAATTGGTTTTTAAAACCAGACTGAATTTCTGGGTATTTCAATTTTTTGCAGCTTAAAATTGCTATTGTGTTTACACATGAATACGTAAATATATGTGTATATCTAGATTATATGTAAGAAATGTGTGTATCATCCACATACTTCATTTTTCTCTTTAACTATGTGGTTACATGCTTCCTTTTAACTTTTATTCCTTTTTTCCCCCAGTGCTCTGTGTGTGGGAAGAGCTTTTCTCAATCCTCCAGCCTGAACAAACACATGAGGGTTCACTCTGGGGAGCGCCCCTACAAATGTGTCTACTGCAACAAGGTAAGGCAGAGCCCTGCCCCATCCCTCCCTCCCTCTGCTGTGCTTTGTTTCTTCTCTGTTTTCTTTCAAGAAAATGCTTTTTTTTGAACTGGTAACCAGATGAGTAAGTGTGTATTCTGGGCAGTTGTGAGGTAAGGTGACAGGACTGGATGAGATGAAGAAACAGGGTCTGCTCTCCATCTGACAAGGAATTTGTGGTTCATACCAGCTCAGTGATCTGCTGCAGAAATAAGGTCTAGGGAAGCTTGATAGTATTTCAAATACCAACCAAAGCATGCAGCTATATCCAGTATCCCACTTCTTCATCAAATAGGTAATTTTTGGTGTTATTGACACTGCTTCTGGACTGCAATAAACAGATTTGGTCTATAAAATGAACCTGCATAACATGAATTTGTGCATGCTTACCTTGAAATATCAGGGTTATTGATGTGCAGGTAGGCATGAAGGTTTCACTTGAAAAAGAGCACAAGGAGAACCATACAGCCCTGATCAAAGATGCATTTTACTGTTACTGCCCATCACAGCAGGGGTGATTCAGGTGAGCTCTCCCTGTGAGAGTGCTGGCAGCTCTCACAGCAGACAGCATGTGGATGCACAGGCTGCTGGAGGATGAATATTGGTAGGGCTCCCAGTGCTGTGGAGTGTCCATGCAATGCAGAAGCCCCATCAGCAGCGATGACCTGCTCCGTATTTTGTAGAGAGAGAAGTCTTGTGTATGACTGGCACAAAGCTGAAGTGTCCTGCTGAAGTGCTCTTAGAGGAAACTCCTTTTGGCTATTATTTTTTTTTTTGTCTCCCCATGATCATCCTAAACATACTTGTTCTTAGAGATTAGGGTGAAATCTCATCCTTAATCTTCTGATCACAAGAGGAGGTGGCAGAGCTTTATGGCTTGCTCTATAAAGAGATGTCTAGGGACACTTGACCTGTCCCCAGCCAGTTCTAGTTGAACTGTTGTGGATTGGATCAGATTAAACTGTTTGTCCTCAGGCTGCAGCATGCAGCTGTCCTAGGACATAGCCATAATTTCTGAGGCTGGAAAACCAGGGTCTGTTTAAATGAATCCTCACTGGCTCCTCCTATAAAATTACGATTCTTCTTTTTCTACCGCTAACAGTGGCTTTGCTTTTCCAGCTCCTATGGTGGAAATCAGTGGTCATTTATTTCAGGAACATTGTGAGACTAAAGGAACAGTGCTGGGTCAGCATCACCATTCTCTCCCCAAAACATATTTTTGCCCCTGATATACACCTCTAAGGACTTGTGTATAGGAGTCTGGGATCTTCTTGTCCTATAAGGTTCCTAGTGAAAGGGTAACTAAGATGTATTGCTGTTTGCCATGAAAACTTACTAGAGAGTATTTCTTTTGTGTGGTCTGCAAATAGTGAAGGGCCTGAAATTTTCTCTCTTTGGATAAGACAAAATAGGAAAAACATGGGAAACTTTACAACATTCCTGCTCAAATTTTAATGAGAGAGTTTTATCCCCAGATGGAGGAGAAGTCTTTAACACTTTTGAGCAGCAAAGTCATAGAGGTGGGAGAGCAGGCTGGAAACTCTGCCTGCAGAAAGAGAAGAGTATGATGGAGCTGGAAAAATGAACCTGTAAATGATGTACGGTGGACTGCATAGATCAGTTTTAGCAGCTGAATCCCAAAACAGTCAAAGGGTTTAACTTTAAAAACAAAAACTGTAGGGAAAGCCTGCTTTATGTTTCTCACACATAAATGAACTGCAAAACTAATTAGGGTAGTATTGACTTCTTCCCTCTGACATACAGATATTTACTGGTGTCTTTGGTCAGAAATCTTTCTCTGAGCTTTATCTATCTCCATGGACTCAGCCACATCTGCATAGCAATAGCTGTTGCCTTCTGATTCCTCCTTGCTGGGAGTTTTCATTATTTTTTTCCACTTACCTGAGGAGTGGAAACGTGAGCTATTTCAGGACATAATTTTTAGGGTTATGTGCTTCTGATGGGGTGTGGGTTAGCTGAAGGTGGGGATTGCCACGTAAATTACTTGCAACTCCATTTCCTTTCCCGCCCTGCCCTTGGTGATCCCTGCCCTCCAGGCGTTCACAGCGTCCAGCATCCTGCGCACTCACATCCGCCAGCACTCGGGGGAGAAGCCCTTCAAGTGCAAGCACTGCGGCAAAGCCTTCGCCTCGCACGCCGCCCACGACAGCCACGTGCGGCGCACGCACAGCAAGGACAAGGGCTGCACCTGCTCCGTGTGCGGCCAGCACTTCCCCCAGCAGGAGGATTACAGCTTCCACCTGAAGATCCATGCTGCTCATTAGTCAGGAGCCCCACGGACGTGTCCTGGACCAGCTCGTTGTGTGTATCAGTCTGTGTGTATCTGTTTGTGCGTGGCTGTGTGCACGGCACAGGAGGGGACATCTGCAGTGGCTCTTGGCGTGGGTCTGGTCTCTGGGCCCAGGGCACATGACTGAGCAAAGGGAACAGGGTACACCCCCTGATGCCACTCTCCTTCTCCTCCCATACTTAATCTCTAAAGGCAGAAAGGAATTCTACCTCCCAAAACCCCTTTGTGCACAAATATCACTGTGAGGAGTGTTTTGCATCTCCAATGCCTGTGGACTGCCTGGTATAATCTGTATCAAGGCTTGTGTAAGGGATGTTTTTGTCAGGTGCATTTCTCAAAGCTGATTTAACCTGTTCGTGTTGTTAGGACAGATGACCTCAGTTATATGGTCTACTTATCCTTAACTTGTCTTTTAGTAATGTTCTATTTAAATGTGAACTTCCTCAGAGATACTGACTGCTGGACCAACGAAGAGCTATTTTAAATCATTTAGCTGCTGGGAGACTGAGAGCTGCAGGACTGTGAGAGCAGCTCCTACAGAGGGTGCTGGATGCAGGTTAACCCAGAGAGAGAGAAGTGGGGTGTAGTAAGATATATGCAGGCCTGATATCCCAGCTAGCAGAGATAGTGGGGTTTGGTTTTGTCCTCTCAAGAGTTTGGAGGAGCAAACATGGTGATATTTCTAAGCATCAGTGAGCCATTGGGCGGATAATCAGCAGTCAAGTGGCCTCCAGGGGTGTTTCATTGTAGACTCAGAGCAGGCCAGGGGCAAGCACTATCCCAGCAGTAGGCACTTCTTTCCGGATTTCCCTGAACTTGCCTGGTCCTGGCCAGGTGAATCTTTGCAGTGAACCCTGATATGAAGGGTGGGCGCCTCTGCTTCCTCCTGGTTTTATGTTGGATTACTGTAGTGTGATACCAGGACTCCTCAGTGCTTAAAATTCTGCACATAAAATTCCTTCCCTGGTCTGCAGGAAAGGCTTTGCTTCCACAGGAGGACTGGAATGTGTCATCCTCCATGTCTCACTGACCACACAAGCAAGGCAGGAGTGTGGTCAGTGAGACATTTTCAGTACTTAAGAAAGTGGCATTCCATATCAATGTGAAATCTTAAATAGGAGGCTTAACAAGAAGTCTTTGCTGAAGGACTGCTGAGGATAGGGAGTGATGTAATTGGTATAGAAGTTTGAATTATCACTGAGTGACCACCATACCTGGCAGGAGGCTGTGCAGAAGGCTGTGCATATGAGAGGGCTCACTGTGGCAGTGGGACTGTGTCCTGCATCCAGGAGCAATAATGGAAATCCTTTTTGGAGCTAGTTGGTAAACACAGGTAGTTCGTTATTACCGGGATGATAAAGTTCTCTTCAAAGTATCCTAGATCAGCTAGGGTTAACAAGAATTTTGTACATAAAGTAGAAGAAAGTAAAGTTTTTATTTTGTACCAACTTTATTGGTCTCTCTAAATACAGCATAAAAATAGAAAATATTTTACTTGTACATTTAATTGTACTGTGCAGATACTGTATTCTTAAATATATTGATTTGCACTAATTTTATAAGGGCTTTTTGTATCTTAAGTTGCTCTGTTCTCATTGTTTTCATGGTAAAAATATTTTTTAGATATTTATTGAATCACTTACTGGTAAACAAAATATTGAGGCCCAGCACTAGGAAGTATGTGAAATAAGCAAATCCATTTGTATTGTATGTTTATACATGTAGATTTTAGAGTATGCTCTGATTATTGGTTTTTGCTTGTTTTAATAGCAAATATTACTCTAATACAGCAGGCTAAATTTTTGACATAATGAGGGCTGAATTCCAGGCCTCCAAATAGGTAAAATTCACTCCTGAGCAGAAAATTCACAGTACTTATGTGTACAAACAATGCTGTGAAACAGGTAGGGGAACTGAACCTTTCTTCCAGCTGCCTGCTGCCTAGGAGGGTAGATACAAACATACAAAATCCTGGCCAACAGAAACAACAATTATGTGTGTGAAGCCTTTGCTAGTTCAGTCCCTTAAAAAAAAACCAGGATTTGGTGAAATAAGCTGCCTACTAATGAAGGAAATGTTATGACTAGGAATGGCTTTGGAGTACTGTGAAAGGCCTGGTTAGCTTCCCATGCAGGTTACCTCTGGTTTTGCTCTAAATGAAGGTTGTATGTTTAAATGGTGCCTCTGTAGTGTTCTTGTGTGCATTTTCATCTTCTTGAAGGAACCCCAAATGTCTTGTTCTTAATTATTTGCACCTTGCTATAGTATTTGATGTGTTGCCTGTAAAGGAGTGTGTGAAGGGTTTTACTTGTACTTGTGATTGAAGGTACTGGCTGTATTGCACATTAAAGCCATATATGTAAATTTTGATGCCAATTATTGTGAACAAAACCACTCTATGAAAAGCCAGTGTCCATAAAGGAGACAGAGGAGTCCTGCAACTTTATTTGAATAAGGGGAGGGAGAGTCCACTGAGGTTTTGGAAGACTGAGCCTTCTTTTATCCTAAACTCTCAGCTGCATGTTGCCCTCTTCCTTTCCCCGCTGGGCGAGGTACAGCCTTCCCGAGCTGCCTTGAACATTTGTCATTTTCTCCCAAAGTTCAGAAGTTTAAACTATCTAGGTTCTGCAACAGGCTTTGCTGACCCATTTTTCTATTACCATAAAGTTCAGGAGTTTATGCTACAGTCAAACTGGGTTCTGTAACAAACTTTCAGCTTGAAGTTCGTAGAGATATTAGGACCCATCTCAAAGACGTTAACACCTGTTTGTCCTAAAGACCCTCACCCATCGAGTTGTTTGTAAAGACATTAGCATCCATCTTTCCTATTATTAATATTTTACATAATAAAAATAATTTGTTGGAGGCTGCAGCGTACGCTAATGGGCTATGGCTTGTTTTCTGCCAGATGCAGAGTTGTGTATTTGAGGTACTAGCAAATGAATGAAGGGTGTTTTCTGTGTCATTTGTAAGTCGTAGTCGTTACAGAGTCAAACTGTCTCTTATTGGGAATTCTAGTGCTTGTCCTGCTGGGCAGAGCTGACTGCACAAGAAGTCAAAGGCACCCAGTGTCTTGATGGATTTGGTCTTAAGTACCCCAATAGCTCATGAAAGATGAGGGCATTCGGTTCGGGGTTGAGTTCACCCCCACTTGCAAGCAAGATGATGGATCCGGATTGAGCACTAAAAAAAGGAATTAAACCACCTTGTAGTGTTTAACTACCCTATAGAGTCATCCTCTCCCTTTTGAATAGAGTCTAGCTGTGCTGGGGACAGTGAAGATGGCACTTGGCTCTGCACACTTTGCACCAGGGTAGGGAGAAAGAAATGTATCAGGAGGGAGATCAAGCTGAGCCACCTGCGGGACCACCGCAGATTTTAGTTTTCTGAAACAAAAATGCACTGATTGTCAGAGCAAACAGATTGCTGTTCTTACCAGATTGGGGGTTAGGAGAGATTAGGAAATCCTCCTGTAGGGTACCTGTGTCCTGTGTGTCCAGTGAGCTGAGCTTTTCCTCCCTGAAGATTTGCACATTCACTTGCTCCTTTTGTGGCTGTGCTCTCAGCAGCTGAGTGAATGTGCAGCTCCAGCCAGCTGAGCCAGCAGTGGGATTTTGGATATTTATACACACAGCTAAGAAGGAAGCTTGTGTGCATGCTGCACTTTTCTATCTGGCATGTTCCCAGAATGACTGCATGGCACAGAAGGACATGTGCATGAAGGAGGCTGCACTGCAAGCTCAGCAGAAAAGAGAATATCTGTGACCATGTGTAAAATCTCAGTTCTTGTGCTGGGCAGCCCTGGCTGCCAGGTCCATCCTGAGCAGGCACCGTGATGCTCCATGCTCCTGCAGCTATTTCTGAGCTGAGGCAGCAGAAAGGACAGCCCTGCCGCTCTCAGGGGGCTGGGCTGTGGCTTTACATGCTGTACTAAATCCATCTCTTCCATTTCTTGGCATCTGCAAATACAGGACAGAAGTGATATTTTCCATTACAGTAACCACAGTAATACACTATATGCAATAGGTACCCATATTTCTCACTCACACTTGCTTAAACTGGCTGTGGGGTGGTGTCCCTGTCTGGGGTCACATTGTCACTGCTTTTACTAAGGCAAAGGATGTGAGTGCACCCTGGCTTTTCTTCCTTTAAGCAGGATTTAAAACAGTCCTCCCAAGGGGAGCAGCAAGACAAGTCCCTGGGACTAATCAGTCCTGTAAGACACTAGCTGATTTTAAGTGCTCTGCATTAACTCTGTGTGAGTTTTTTAAATGTCAATAGAAAGTGATCTAAATAGAAACCAGAGTATGAAGGCAATCAACTGTTTTGTTGGAGCAGAGGGGTGCAGGGAGAGAGACTGTGTGAGGCTAACTCCTGAAATGCTCCTCCTGGGTAAATGACAATGGGAGACAAAAGAAAAGGTGGTCCCAGAGCTCAGGCTTGCAAGTGTGAGAGAACAAAAGGCCTGGCCACAGACATCTGCTGCCTCCAGCATCTCCTGCATATCCCTGTTTTTCAAACACCTGGTCCCCAGCCCCTGCTGTCCCAGTCCCTGTCCTGCTGCTCACTCTGGAGAACAGGGAGGTGGTTAACCACTGAAGGAAGATGAAAAGCAGCAAGGAGGTTAATGAATTGAAGATAATGTCACAAATATTGCTCAGTGCCAAATTGTCCATTAAACAAGAGAGATCATTCACCAGAGGAGCCCTGACTGGCTGTTCCCTTCTTAAAAAAGCCATTCCTTGTGTCCCCAGTCTCCTACATGCATTTGCAGCAGGTGCTGGTGTATGTTTTACCCCTACAGACACAGCCACCATCACCTTCATTTCCCTTTCTCTCCTGGTACACATGTCCTTGCAATTTCTCCCTTCTGTCTCTCCTTAGCACACTTAGTGCAGGGCCTGAGGCATATGAGGGGTGTGAGGCTCTGTCTTTGGTCTCTTCTTTTGTTTTTTTTTTTTTTTCTACCTTAGG